TCTTTGTGGCTTGGAAAATGAGACTTTAATTAGATCACTTTATCATATCTTGCGATTATGCTCCGGCAATCTGGTACTTGGTCGCTTGCGCGTTCCCCTCCGCATCATCGCCGGCTCCTTGGTTTGATCAATGGATGAAACCTCCTTTCAACAGTTCCATCCACAATCTCCCCGCGGTGCGCTCTGCTGCTATCATCTCTTGGTTCATATGAAAAGCTAGATACGACGCAATTTTGAAGTACCATCGTAAGACCCCTCTTGCCACTCTTAACCTCACTGAGGTCTTCACTAGATTAAAGTCTACTGACACAATTACTCCAGGAGCCATCTGTTGGGGAATTTTAATCTCCCTACATAGTACAATCTCCGCAACTTGGAAGCCAACTTATAATCAATAAGATAGAAAACGACCACAATCTAGAAGAAAGAATACCGAGGTTTACGTGGTTCGGTCGACTAACTTCGACCTACATTCACAGAGCAACAAAAGGAGAAATCTACTATGTATCAGAGAGAATTACAAGAAGAACCATTCAACTCTTGTCTTTTAATCTCTCAACCTCACATACATAATCAACTCTCATATTCTCTCCAAAACTCACACTTCACAATCTTTTGAATGGACAAAAAGATTGCGAAACTCTCTCCCAATGTTATAATCTTTTACGCGGACAAAGACTATGAAACCCTCGTCTTTCGTACAATATTTTTGAATTAGGCTACACTCTCTGCTAACGCTAGATTATAAGAATATTTGGCTCTCTCTCTCTCATCTTCTTAGTTTTTTCTCCAAAAATAGAAGAATATATATAGGGAAACCAAAACTCTATCCCTTGCCAAACTTTCTAATTAGAATATGATACAAACTCCTAACCATGATGAAATCCAATCTCCTAATCATAATAGATCTCTAGCCCTATTTAATTCTCATGTAGTTATACAAAGAATCAAAGACACAATCCTAACAATATCTACGTTTGATTTGATTCCCAAACCACCTCGATAATCTACCATTGCCATCTTGAAACTTTGTCTCTCCTGCTAGAGTCTTCTATTTCTTTTGTACTTCAATCTGAAGCATCCATACTCCTAATTAAAACACTCGTACTCTAACCTGGATGTCCCTATGACACTCACTTTCATCTGCCTCGTTGTGCTTGCAAGTTCCACCAAAATGGGCACTATCATCTATGAGGCTACACACCAACCAACTCATGCTATTGCGACGACTCTGAATAATTATATGTTGACAGCTCTACTGCTAGAATCACATCTAATTCTCTACATCAATCTCATCCGTCGCATACTTGTTTGTCCTATCTGCCATCAGATTTGTCTCGTCATCACTATCAGAGTTTTTCTACACTTTATGACCAATCAGAGCATAATCTAAAAAATTAAACCCTTTCATCTCATGGATTGTCAAATTCCGCCTACGATTCATCAATCTACGTTCTGATCAACCTCATCCGTTGGACTTTGATCCGACAACTTTAAATGATTTCTCCTCTATGTGAACTTATTTCCCCTGCAGATTACAAGTCTTCACATGGGACCCACCAACTATAATATTCATCAAATTGTTTTTTATTTTCATGCGGACCCCGCCTTGACTTAAGACCCTCACGTAATACCGAACATCAAACACTCAACAAATTACCAAACACCAAAAACCTAGCCAATGATGTGTTGATACCAAAACACCAAGCACGAAAATACCACACACCAGATTTGATTTGTTTCTTTCTTCATTCACGATAAGAAATCCCCACGAACAAAAAGCCTTCGCACCGCTTCTTCCACCGTTAATGGCCAGTTTCTGCCACCTCTTGCAGCCTATTGCAATCGCTGCCATTCACTCGGGCTTCGGCGACCCTCTTACCGGTGATCACCCCCCTTTTTTTCTTCATCTTTATTTTTGTACATCCGCTAATCTTCACTTTTGCATGACATCTATCTTGCAAATCCACTCGCGAATCCATCACTATTACTCTGATACCATTTGTTAGGGAATTTTAGTCTCTCCGCGTACTACGATCTTCGCAACTCGGAAGCTAACTCACAATCAACAAGATAGAAAATGACTACAATCAGAAAGAAGGAACGTCGAGATTTACGTAGTTCGGTCGACCAAGTTCGACCTACGTCTAAGGGGGTAACAATACGAGAAATCCACAATTATCAGGGAGAACTATAAGAGAACTCACTCAACTCTAGTCTTTCAATCTTTCAACCTCACATACATAATTAACTCTTATATTCTCTCCAAAAACCCAATCCTTTACAATCTTTTGAACGGACAAATATTGTGAAATCCTTTCCCAATGTTATAAACTTTTATACGGACAAAGACTATGAAACCATCGATTACAAGAATATTGGCTCCATCTCCTCTTATTGGTTTTTTCTCTAATAATAGAAGAATATATATAAAGGAAACCAAAACCCTACCCCTAGCCAAACTTTCTAATTTGAATATGATACATGTGTATCTTCTCTTTGGAACTTAGTGATCCTCATGAGAGCTTGAGGATAGCTGATTCTCATGGTAGCTTGAGAATAGAGGTGTAAAACAGCACAGTGGAACGCAGGTTGAAGCATGGAACGAGATGACGAATCGAAGAATCGAAGCATCTAGTTTTCAGCCCGTGAGTCGACTCATAACAGTCATGAGTTGACTCATCAGATTGAGTCGACTCATGCCTGTCGTGAGTCGACTCATGAAACTCAGCCGTTTGTCACCAGTCTCTGACGAGTCGACTCATCTCAGTCATGAGTCGACTCATTGTTGGTTTTGTGTTTTGTCCAGTTTTGAACGTGTCGACTCATCTCAGTCGTGAGTCGACTCATCGAAGGTTTCCTGGTTCGTTTGGGTTTCTGTTTACACGAATTCCTGTTGGGTTTGGACTTGGTTATTTACCACTTTGCTATCCACGTTGTTACACCTATATAAGTGATTGTTTAGGGTTTCTAATCAATCAGAGGTAATCAAAGTGAGATTCTAATCAAGAGAGATTAGGGTTTAGAGAGAATTGAGAGCTTGTTCTCGATTCTAGTGAGATTGTGAGAGAAGGATTATAATATTTTCATACTCATAATCTAGAGATGGTATTTTCCTTAGGTAACAGAGATTTAAGCAGACATGCAGATAATAAACATGGCTCTGATACCAAAATTAAGCAAAATAAACGAAAGCAAAACGAAAGCAAAGAACTTACAGTTTGCGCCCGCCAATAGATAAGATTATATCTTTATTATGCTCCACAATATATTACAAGAGATATTTTACAAGAGAACACTCAAGGAACACTCAAAATACAATACTCAAGCACCTTATTTTTTATTTTTCTTCTGATTCCGCTCCTCTGATCTTCAGCCTTCCTTCTTATTTATAGCCTTGGAAGGAATCTTTAAAGTGGTCGACAACTTCCCGAAATTTCTCTGAAGTCCATTAATTTCAAAGTAGGAAAGCGACCCGCATAATAGACAGTAGCCGCACTAATTAGCACAGTAAAAGGTAATCAAGAGAGATTAGGGTTTAGAGAGAATTGAGAGCTTGTTCTCGATTCTAGTGAGATTGTGAGAGAAGGATTATAATATTTTCATACTCATAATCTAGAGATGGTATTTTCCTTAGCCACATACTAAATTGTTCTTGTGTTTCTGTCATCATCTTCTCAACCCACCTTTGATAATTCCGTGATCAAAGGTGCTCACACGACGACTCGTATTAGAATATGATACAAATTTCTAATTATGATGAGACCAAATCTCCTAATCATGATAGATTTCTAGCCATATCTAAATCTCATGAAGTTATACAAAGAATCAAAGACACAATCCTAACACCATCTTCATCATCAGTTCTCCTCATCACTGCCCCGTCCACTCCCACCCCCCTAGCGACATCATGAAGATCAATGTGGATGCTACATCTAAAGTGGACTGATCCGCCATATGGATCATTGTTCAAGACTACTTACACCATCACTTCCTCTCATATTGAGTTTTTGGTCCTGCATCATCCCCCTTTCAGTCTGAACTCCTGGCATTAGTTGTGAGGTTGCGCATTGCACTCTCAAAGGGTTGGAGGGAAATAATTATAAAGACTAATTGCCTCGACTCAGTCCCATGCTTCACGGGACCATTGCTCACTCGCATCACCTGATCTCGAGCTTGTTCGATGAATGCTGGCCCCTTTTCAAAGGTTTTAATTTCTCCTTTATTAGTCATGTTTGTCATTTCGGAAATGTTTGTGTGCACATGTTATCTCAATATGCCCACAGATATGAATGTACCTCCTTTTCTGATGCTGGGATGGTCAGACCATATTCGTAACCAGATTTTATCAGATGCTATGTTTTGAAACTATATGATAGAATCATTCAGATTCCTATAAATGAATAAGTAAAAAACTCAAATTCAAGGAGTGTAGGTCCATTTGCATTGTTATTAGCAAAGAAATTATAGTCCTCAACTCTCATCATGGCTTTAGAGTTCTGATATAGTCGTAGACACTCTAAATAGAGCAATTAAGATTTAAATCTATTTGCTATGAAATTAAAGAGGATTTAGAAAACAAATTACCGCTACTTGGGTCCAGCTTAGGTTCAGGGTGTTCCGATGGCAAGAATTTTAGGACTTGAGCACAAACTAGCTAGACCACGTTTGCTACAGGGACCCAAAATATGGGACCAATATGTGGGACAAGTGAGGTGTTCCCCTCCTATTGGATAATGAGTTGGTCATCATTAATGATGGCCAACTCATTATCCAATAGGAGGGACAAGTGAATGATGACCAACTCATTATCCAATAGGAGTGGGACACCTCACTTGTCCCTCCTATTGGTCCCATATTTTGGGTCATTGAGGAATTTTTCTTACTTAAAACACAAACAGGCCGGAACACTTTTCCGTAAATCCTTTGTGGCGGTATATCGTACCGCCTTTATCCGTCTCCTACTTAGCACGTTCTCTCCTACTTAACACTCCCACCAACGAAAAAACCGCAAAAAATTTAGTCCAAATGAAATCAACGGCCTCTCCTCCTGAGTCTGCTCCTCCGCCGACTCCTCGACCTCGACTGCGGAGCACCCGATCCAACTCCTCCACCTCCTTCTCCTTCTCCTCCTCCTCCTCCTCCTCCTCCATATTCTCCAAACCCTCCCCTTCCCGCCAAAACTACATCCTATCCCCATCCCGCTCCTCCTCCTCCTCGATCCCCTTCAGCTGGGAACAAACCCCTGGGATCCCCAAAACAGTGCCTAAAACTCTAAAACCCCACCCAAACCCTACTAACCCTAACCTCCCCCTCCCTCCCCCACTCCGCTCCGATTCATTCACTCGCAATATCGCCGCCGCCGCCGCCGCCGATCCCTTCGCCGTCGCGCTCGTCGAATGCCGCCAAAGATCCACGCGCGGAGGCGTCCCATCTATGGATCTTAGAACAGGGCCGCCGCGATCAAAACGCGGCGGTGGTCCGCCGGCGATCGTTTCGGTTTTGGGTTCGTGCAAGACCTCGTGCTTGGTGGCGAATTCTGTGATCGAGATTCGAGGGTTAGCAGCGGGTCGGATCTTATGGGGCCGTGGCATCGGCGGGTCGGGTAAAGATCGGGGCATTCGGTTTCGGGTTCAGATGCGATTTGAGATAAGTACGCAGATCAGTTTGTGGTGAGGTTGTTGTTTGTTATTTTTTAAGTTTAATTACACAAAAACCACCTAAACTTTGGGGGTTTTTGTGCATGACCCCCTGAACTTTAAACTTTTCTCGTTGGACTAACTTCCATGTAATTTGCAAATGAATAAAATTTACTTGGGAGGAAAAAAAAATCCAAATATTACATGAGGGGGCATGCTGCTTGTAAAATGATATGTAACAAAGATTGAGATTTTTCACTCTAAAAAATATTTTAATTATTTGCAAATTATCTGGGAGCAGATTAAAATTCAGGGAGGTTTTGTGAGACACCCCTAAAATTTAGGGTATTATGTAATATAAATAGATTTTAAGAAGGTTGTGAGCAACATCATCCAAAGTTTGTGGTTGAAAAATTAACCCTAATTTTTAAGTGGGGACAAGAAGATTATGTTTTCGATCAGAGTTGACTTGTGTGTAATTATGTAATAGTCTTTATGTTTGATTTGAAAATGCCTTGTCCATTTGTCCTTGATAAGTGACTGGTGGCACTATAAATTATAGTTTTAACTGTTACTATGATTTATTGATGCTCAAAGTAATAAGACTTGATAACATTTTTTTAATTTTTAATATTATATATATAGTATTTGTCATAACATAGATATACGAATTATATATTATTTGATTATGACGAACTTGGATAGGAAATATTTATATTGCTTTGTGTAAAATAAGGCTGTAGATTTTAATTAGTTATTCCAAATTATCCAACATATCCCTCAAATCTACGGCAACTGTATCCAATAATGATGCATATACGGTAGCTATAATATGAAACCTACAAAATATGGTTTCGGTTTTAGTTTTGGATATGATTTTCTCTTTTTACGAGGACACAGTTCCAGATATGATAGTTAGGTTCAACTAGCGGATACGGTTCGGATATCCTGAGTTTCATTTTAAGAAAAAAAAAATGAATAATAATATAATGCACTTGCTAGGATTCGAACATTGGCCACTTAGTTGTTAACCTAACTGCTAGGCTACTTATGGACCCACTATATATCTGATTCGCATATTAATTAACACAGTTTGCGTTTTTCCCACTACCCTCCACCATGTCGCTAAAATCTTAGTGCTATAAGTTAAATGAGACGGTTTGCCTAAGAATTCTCATCAAATTAAAACTATGTATAATTAGAAATTTCTAATAATCAAATATTTTGCAATCCTTATCAGATTATAGCTACCCATAATTAAAATAAATCTCATAATTATATATTGAAATATATAAATTAAAGAAAAAAACTCATGTGAAGAGCCTCTCTATATAAAATCATAGATTAATTTTAGAAAACGTCCGTCAACTATTTTAATTTGAGAAAAATCCCCTCAAGTTTGAGCATATCGTAGATAACCCCTATTAATTATAAAAATTTGAGATAACCCCTTATACTTTTCTCTGTTAACCCCCATCAAATGTGGAGTTTGTCTTAAAAAACTCTCCTCAACTACTTTAATTTGAGAAACCCCCTCAAGTTTGAGCTTATTAAAGAAAAAAACTCATGTGAAGAGCCTCTCTATATAAAATCATAGATTAATTTTAGAAAACGTCCGTCAACTATTTTAATTTGAGAAAAATCCCCTCAAGTTTGAGCATATCGTAGATAACCCCTATTAATTATAAAAATTTGAGATAACCCCTTATACTTTTCTCTGTTAACCCCCATCAAATGTGGAGTTTGTCTTAAAAAACTCTCCTCAACTACTTTAATTTGAGAAACCCCCTCAAGTTTGAGCTTATTGTAGATAGCTCCTCTTAGGATTTAAACTTTGAGAAATCCTCATGAGCAGTTCTCACTTTACGCCCTGAAAAGTTCACATTGCTAGGTCTAGCATGTCATGTGACAAGTAGATAACTAAGAAATGACCAAAATATCACACAAACATAAAAATTGCTCTGATTTTTTTAAGGATAATAGAAAGAGTGGAAAAAGTGCAGGGAAAAAGTATTGTAAACTAAAAATAGTTCTTTTTTACCGATTAAGGGTTTCTTTGCAATTAAATGAGTTTTTTCAAAAGGGTATTTCAGTTATTTTATATTTTAAAATTAAAATAACGTGATTTGTGTGTGTGTGTGTTGTTAGACCCTAGAGGGGGGTGATTAGGGTCTTATGCTAATCTAATCCGATTAAATGCCAATTAAAAATAATTAACAACTATATTCTTGCAAGATAGGTATACAATCTATTATGGGCAAGAATATGCAATATACACAAAGTGATATATCCTATATGATGAAATATATATGCAAGGATATATAAACTAAGGGTGATATAAACATAAACAAGATAAACAAGATAGTGGACAATGTGAACAATAGATAATGGCGACAAGAATGATATGAACAATAAGCACAAGTGAGACGCCAAGACAATCACAAACACACAAAGATGATCACGGAGTTCGGACCTTCCGTCCTACGTCTCCGCTCCCCACTCCCGGGGAGAAATCCACTATCAACCGGGTTTTCTACGTTCACCCGAACAACGTTTACACCTCACACTCGGTTTTCTAGCTAACCGAAAACTTTACAATCAACACACTATTGTAACCCCCCTCTACCCCCACTAAGTGTTGGACCTAGCCGTGTCTCCCTCAAGTGCTCGGTTACAACCTCTCCCTAGGCACGTCAACCGACGCCACTCCTCTTGGGACGATCCCCGACTCTCACCACACACTCCTCACTCGGTGTACAAGTGTATTACAAAGTGAATATCACAATATAACAAATGATTGTTCTCTCTAACAAGATGAGAACTCAATTAAGCTCACTCTCAATGTCACAAACCCACAACCCTAAATTATACTATGAATGTAAATACAATAAGCTCAATAGGTTGTGTGTGAACAAAGAGATATAAATCAAAATCAAACTAAACTCAAATATAAAATCTAGCTTAAGAACAATGATAATCAAACAAGTATATAAATGTAAAGCTAGAGTTTGAGTTTAGAAAACTTCTCAATTTGATAACAAGAGATGGAGGGATGATAGTTGGAAGCTCAAACTTCAATAGATAATCTCCTCAAGCTCTTGTGGAATTTGATTCACAAAATCGAAACACTCAAATGCTTAAAAGCTTATAAACACACTTTAAACAAACTTAAACCCTTGATTAAAACTTTCTTAAACTTGTTTTAAAACTCTCTTGGTTGTTTTGAAAAAACATCAGCAATGGGGTATATATATACACTAAGGATCTAGCAAAAACCCCCAAAACAAAATGACCAAAAACCCCAGCAAACAGCTCAGAGAAAGAGCCGTTAAAAGACAACGGCTATATTGTCGGTCGACCGAAAATTCCGTCGGTCGACCGATGAGAGCAAAAACACGAAGAAAACTTTCTGGACCATCGTCGGTCGACCGGTGCGGTCGACCGATGAAAACTTTCGGTCGACCGGACGCGTCGAGCCGACGATTTTTCTGGAAAAATACTGACGAATGGTCAATTGACGGTCGACCGTACCGGTCGACCGAAACTGACATTCCAGAAAAAAATCGTTTTAGAGCTGATTTTAAAACACTGTTTAAAAATATAATAAATTCAGAAAAATGTAAAACTTTGGGGAATGATTGTAGACATGATAATACACATGCTACAAAAACTGATTTCTAAAAAGACTTCCCAAAGAGAAATACCATCATTTTACAAAATAGTCCAAAACATGAAAATGTAAAGCATATGAATCTTGACATTTTAGCTTAACCTGTTTGAAACATTACAAAATGATTTTGTAGACTTAATAAAAGATGTATATGATTATTGTTAAGTCTATAAACTAAGAAAACAATATTTTCACAAATACAATAGAAAGTAAAACGTATGAGTATGTATATGAAAATATATTTGTTTCATATCTATGAAATTAAACCCAAACAACTTATCCACATAGAAAACAAGCATGTATACACATTTTTTGGAATTTATTTGTAAAAACTTTGTTTGTGGATAAAACTAAAAACCATAGATGTATATGTATATAACTAATATAATATATTATACTATTATATATATATATATATATATATATATATATATATATATATATATATATATATATATATATATATATATATATATATATATATATTACACTAAAAAAACAATAAATGTGTGTGTGAATATAATATTGAGGCTTAGAGTATATAACACACATAATATAAACCTATACTAGATTACCCAAGCCGATCTTGATCTTCAATAAGCTTGACTGGTACACTTGCGGATGAAGCTTGAACTTGATCTTTAACTTTGAATTTGCAAGGCTTTACCAGACATTCCGCCAACCTCCTTTGGATATGATCGTTGAAGCTCTATTCCATCCATCCTCCAACAACGTTGTTTGTCTACAATAACACGAAAACACAATACTAGACAAACAACATTAGTAGTAAATTGTTTGTAAATCATCATCAAAACAAGAAGGCCAACTGTGTGTGTGTGTTGGGGGGGGGGGGGGGGTAATTGAAAAAAGTGAAAGATAGGGAGATTTTGTGAGACACCTCATAGTTGAGAGGATTTTCTCTGGTTTTCAAAATTAAGTGTGGTTATCTATAGTTTTCCCAAACTTTATGGTGATTTTCTCTCAAATTAAAATAGTTGAGAGAGAAGTTCTACGACACCCACCATTGTTGATAGAGTTATTCTAAAATTAATCGTAAAATTATATATACAAAATTATATGTGTCAAATTATATTTAAAGTTGATGAATAAGTCCTTTTAAAATATTATTGATGAATTTGTTAATTTTTTGTTATTATTAATCTGATATCACATCCTTACTGATTTTTATAAAGAGACATTTTTGGTTCACCAATATCTCTCTTTAAAATGTTAATAGAACACAAGACACCATAAAATAACATGTAAAGATTTATAAAATTAAAAATTTTCCTATTACAAAAATATTCTCAGCGATAAAAAGATAAACAAATTATTTATACAAATTATCCAAAATAATATCTCGAATCTCCCTACTTTATCTAATATTTCTAATAATTATATTAAGATTCTAATAGTTCTTAGGAATATTCTACGAATAAATATTTGGATTCTTAAGATATTTTATGGATATTTTAAAACAACATATATATTTCTAATTAAGTTGAAATTCTAATGCAAGCACCACAAGATTGAGGTTTAAGCGTGAGATTGTTTTAGATTAAATGAATATAAGAATGTTGTGCGCATCGGAATCGAAATCATAAACAAGATAGGAGAACAAATCAACAACCAAAACAAACACCACACAAGAAAGACACCAAATTTACGTGGTTCAGCAATGTGCCTATGTCCACGGGGCAAGGAGGAAATAGATTTTACTAATAAAAAGAGAGTATGCAAATAGAGATTACAATCACTCAATAATCTCACAAATATAACCCTAAACTAGCC